ATCCCTGCCGGCACATGCGTGGACGAGAAGACCCGCAAGATCCGGCAGGGGGACCAGACCTTGCGGCCGAAAGCTTTAACCCCTTCAGGGCGTGGCCCCAAAAAGTTGCGCCCGCGCAAACCCCACCCGCGGGCAACTCCCTCGTTGCCGAGCGGTCGGTCTATCACCGGTCTCGCGATTAGTTGTGTTTAGTTTGACCCGATTAATTTAGCCCGACGTTGACCGCATTTCCAAGCAGAGGCCATCAAATCCAATCAGAACCCTTTCGTTGGAATGTTTGATTATGGTTGGGTTGTGCTTGATTATGTTCGGAGGTGAGCTCAAAGTCCGGTTAAGTCAACCAGCTGGGTTGTGATTGGCTGGCTGTTTCCAGGTTAAGTTCGTTGGCTGCTGGCTGGCTGGCTGTCTGGCTGGCTGGTTCGGTTCTGCTTGACTTCTGGCTGGCTGAACGCCCCACACAATTTTTTGTCAAAAGCAGAATCGGCTCTACCACCCTCCCCGCCAGGGTTATCGGACCCCTCCTGGGACATTTGCAAGTTACATATGGTTCTGCTCTATCGTAAACATTCCGTATGAATGTGTACCATCCCAGCCTAAGCGGGTATCGACCGACACCCCTTAAGGGGTGTCGGTCGATACCGTCATAGTAATAATATTACGCGCGCGCACTTGAGAATCCTTTGCGGAAAAAACAGCACAACATCCACACGTGCGCGCAGTTGTCGAAGCCATACCATGCACACGTGTGTAGCAATCATGTCAGCAAAATATTGTTTACATATAGATATGACTGAACGCCCTTTTGGCTTTCAGCCCGAATTCTAGCGGATTGTCAGCCCGCACGCATTTGTTGAAATCATGTGAAAGCCGTGTGCCTTTGGCAATCTCGTCCAGAACCCGCACTCCAATTCCACCACACGGTGCATCCGCGCTGATCCAGCGTGCGCCCAGTGCACGAAAGCCGCACCGCACGTCGACAACATGTTGCACCAATTTGCGTGTTCTTTGTACGAATGCTTCAGCCCTCCTCTCCCCCCCCCGCGTCCCCAATCTAATATTGAGGACATGCGAGAATGAGCTCCTCTGGAGTTCCCGGGCGGCCGACAGAATGCTGCACCACCGATCTGTTTCGGCGATTCCGGCCCGTAGCCGATAGGTGATCGGGGGTGGGGGGGGAGCGAGCACGGAACGTCGATTGCAAAACGACGTTTGATGTGTGCGCGGGCGCAGGTAGGAGGAGGAGGAGGAGGAGGAGGAGGAGGAGGAGGAGGAGGAGGAGGAGGAGGAGGAGGAGGAGGAGGAGGAGGAAGAGGAGGAGGGGGAGGAGGAGGGAGGAGGCGGGAGGAGGAGATGGTGCAAGATGTTGTCGATGTACGGTGTCGGATTGTACCATGAGGGCCGCACGCGCGCGTGGCCGAAATCCTTCCGGAAGCCATTGGCTCTCGGAGCATGTCAAGACAGAGCGATTCGAACACATATAGTGGAGTCCCATGCCAAGAAACACTTTGCTTCCTTGAGGTCCAACGTATTGAAAAAATCAAGACGGAGGTTTTTCGCACTTTCCGGCATCTAGGGGCCCTCGCCGGGCCCCAGGACCGTCAAAAAACGATTCAGGATGAAAAACCGGTCCTGGTCAATCGTTCGAGGCTTCCGGGGACCTTGCATTGAAAAAGTCACGACATCGGATCTCTGGATTGCGTCCAGGGTGCCCCGGGTTTCTTGGGTTTCAAGGGCTTTACGACGGAGAGCGCGACGTTCTCGCACCAGAAATCCATGGACGCCTTGGGGTCTCGGGGTTGGGTTTCTCGTGGAAGGTCTCTTGTGGTCGGGCCCCCACTCTATGAGACACCATATATGTTTCAACAACAATTTGCCAGGTGTATGGCATTCCCGCGCAAGCGCACTTCCTCAGTATCACCCTCGTCAGCGCCACCGTGTCACCGCCGTCACCGTCATCGCCAATCGCCGCCATTGCCGCCATCATCAGTCAGTCACCGTCAGTGCAGACACATGGACATCATCATCGTCTTCGCCGTCATTGGCCCTGCCGTCGTCATCGTCATTATCGCCATCACCATCGCTACTATCATCATCGTTTCCGCCGTTGCCACCGTCATTATGACACCACTCCCGCCCGAGTCACCGACCCGCACTGGAGTGCTTGCGCGCCAGCGCGGCCTCTGCGACGCGTCGGGGAGTTCCCCTTGGCAAGCGCAATCGCGGCCACACAGATGCGCCAGCCCTCTCATCAGCGCCACCGCGTCACCGCCGTAATCGTCATCAACAGTCGCCGCCATTGCCGCCATCATCAGTCAATCACCATCGTTATTATCATCATCGCCGCCTTCGTCGACGTCGTCATGATGCCGTCCCCGCTCGGGTCACCGACCCGCACGGAAGTGTTCGGGCGCCAGCGCGGCTGCTAAGACGCGTTGGGAGGTCCCATTGGTAAGTAAGCGCCATCGCGGCCGCGTCGGTTGCCGCTGTGCGCGCGAGCTTGCACGTGCCAGCGGAGTCGTAGAGATGCGCCAGCCAGAGCCAAGGGACCACCGCAATCGTGACCGCGTGGAATATGCAAAACAAGTTGCGGGTGGGAGGGTGGGATGGTCGCGCGAGCAGTGTACTTGACGATTGCAAGTTCTGCAAGGTGGATTGCCCCACATAGTTTGCTCCACACAGCTTGCGCCACAAATATTGCACCACATAGACATTACGAAGCTCGCACATCCTGTGCGCAATGACTTACTCCTTGGGGTATACGTTGGAAAACGTGGTATATATGCGTCTATGTTTAGTTGAGCAACTACCACCTCATGTCTAAGATACCGTGCAGCTGGGTGTATTGCTAATCGGCGATTTGGCGTCAAGCTGCGAGGAGATTGGTTGGACAGCGCCTGCTTTGTGGCCGATCGCGGGGTGCAGCGGGGGGCGGGGGCATTCCGACGACTGTTTGAATGGCGTTGTGGGTGGACGATGAGGTATCCCGGGTGCGCACACGGGATGGGGGCTCAGCGGCGACTGCTTTCGTGTAGCCCAGACAGCAGCACGTAACGAGCGCACGCCTTCGGCAGGTGATCTGCAGTTTGCTTGCGTTCTCCCATCTGCCACCGTCGTTTCAGCATTCGTTTGATGATTTTGCGCAGCCACAGCTTCTTTCCAGTTGGCCCGCTTCACCATCCCCTGAGATCCGACATTGCGGAAAAATGCAAGATCGCAGGAAGTCGCGACCAGAACCCTAGACCCCACCTTTTTGTTGCGTTTTTC